CTCATGCTGTAGATGAGGGGGTTCACTGCTGGAGGCACCACTGCGTACAAAACAGCCATCAGCAGATCCAGGGATGGGGAGGAGATGGATGGAGGTTTCAGGTAGGCAAAGAAGCAAATGCTGATAAACAGGGAGACCACGGCCAGGTGAGGGAGGCAGGTGGAAAAAGCTTTGTGCCGTCCCTGCTCCGAGGGGATCCTCAGCACGGCCCTGAAGATCTGCACATAGGACACCACAATGAACACAAAACAACCAAAGACTAAAAAGGCACTGACCACAATAAGCCCAGTTTCCCTGATGTAGGACGCTGAGCAGGAGTGCTGGATGATGTGGGGGGTTTCACAGAAGAACTGGTCCAGGACATTGCCCTGGCAGAGGGGTAGGGAAAACGTACTGGCCGTGTGCAGGAGAGCATCGAGAAACCCAGTGCCCCGGGCAGCTGCTGCCATGTGGACACAAGCTCTGCTGCCCAGGAGGGTCCCGTAGTGCAGGGGTTTGCAGATGGCAACGTAGCGGTCGTAGGCCATGATGGTGAGAAGACAATACTCTGCTGACATCAAGGCAACAAAGAAAAAGACTTGGGCAGCGCATCCCAAATATGAGATGGCCCTAGTGTCCCAGAAGGAATTGGCCATGGACTTGGGGACAGTGGTGGAGATGCAGCCCAGGTCAAGAACAGAGAGGTTGAGGAGGAAGAAGTACATGGGGGTGTGGAGGCGGTGGTCACAGGCGATGGCAGTGATGATGAGGCCGTTGCCCAGGAGGGCAGCCAGGTAGATGCCCAGGAAGAGCCAGAAGTGCAAGAGCTGCAGCTCCCGTGTGTCTGCAAATGGCAGGAGGAGGAACGCAGCGATGGAGCTGACATTGGACATTTGTTCACTCTGAGCATGGAGGACTACTGAAAGAGGAGAAGACATTGACTAGTTAGGGCAGACTTCTTTGACTCAATCCTATGCTATTTCCAAAAAAAAATCTCCTCAAAATTAATGATCTTTCTCTGAAGGAACTTCATGCATTTCAATTTTGTGACCTCAGTTTTGTGCTGCTGACTGAGAGGAATTGTCTTTGAAAGGGCAGAAATCCTCATCCCCCAGTCAAGATGAGCCAGCTGCACACAAACATGAAAAGCTGAGCAAATGGTGCTTCAGTACACGGTGACCTTGAGAAACTCTGGGATTCAGCCAATGGAAGTCACTTAAGTTCTTCAAGGAGAAGTGGCTAGTCCTGCATCAGTGGGTGGCAGGGAGGAAGGGGGAGAATAATTCCCTATGTCAGGACAGGCTGAGACCTGACCAGAGCAGTGACTCTGAGGAGAAGGCCTGGGCACTACGAGGGATGTCCTACAAGCCATCAGAGTATGGACACTACAAACAAGGCCAGCTGCATATGATGCTGCATGAGGAGGATGTGGGCCACCCAGACAGCCTGAGTTCTCATCCCCCTCAACTCAACACTGGTGTGCTCCCACACACATTGATGTGTCCCAGTGTGGTGCTCCCATTTTTGAGAAGTAGTGATGGACTGGAGAGTGTCCAGTGGAGGTCTGCCACAATGGCAGCCACGATGGCAGAGGGGAGTTGGCTACAGCCTGCAGAGAAGGAGGTGCAGGTGTGGGACACGGTAGGACAGCCTATGGTGGAACTGACAGAGGGATGAAAGGTCTGAAAAGCACCAACAGAGATGAGGTCTGTCTCCCCTTGGCTCTGGCTGCTGCCTCTGCCACTGATGCCTATGAGGAAGCACCTTATCCCTACAGCGCCAGGGTCTCATTGCCTCCCCTTCCCCACCCGAGAGCCTGGGAGGTATCGGACCATGGTCCTGCCCTTGACATTGCACATCCCCACATCACACAGCCCCAGGAAGAGGTGTCTCCCCTTCCCCACCTGAGAGCCGTGAAGGTGTCGTACCGTAGTCCTGCCCTTGACGTTGAACATCCTTACATCACACTGCCCCAGGAAGAGCCCTGAGCAATGTGTGAGTGACAGGAACACCCTCCTCAGGGGCTGGGGCTCACGGCTTATTGTAACACATCCAGGTTTACTCAGAATCTGTTCCACCTTTCCATTCCCTTTGTCTACCTGTCATCTCTGCCTCCAGTTTTCTGCTCTAAGCAGCCGCTGGGGAGGCTTAATTCCCAAACTGGACTCAGCGATGGACACGAACTAAACTCGGGAACAGGATTCAGGAATGCATGGATCGTGACCAAAGACAGATGGACAGAGTCCCCCTCTGGACCTGCTGCTGGACCTTCCTGTCTCTCCCAGGAGCCTGACTGTGCAAGGACACTGCTGTGTGCCCCCACTCTGCACACTCACATCTTTGCTGTTCCCTGGTGTTTGTTCTCCTGGGCGAGTTTCCTGAGACACCTTTTGGAAGGAGACCTGAGCCTTCGGGCTCCGCCCTGAGCAGATCCTCTGGTATGATGGAAATGCTGTTTTGGAGGCCAGCTCTGTCACAAAAATGCCCATTCCCTGTCCCTGCAGGCGGTCACAGGCCTGCCATATCGCAAGGCTGTCACCGAGCTTCAAGAGCATTCAGGCCTTACACCAACAGAGGAGCTCAGAAGGAAAGCGCTGAAGTGGAAAGTGATCAGCTCTGGGAAGACCAAGTGCTGGTGCTCCTTGTCAGGGCTGCTGTGCCGGGCCTCCTTTCCCCTCCGCCTCTGCACACAGCATCTGCCCCTGCAGCTCCAGAGAAGGTCTCAAAGGAAGGACAAACAAGGCCAACAAGTTGTTGGCAGGTCCTTTATTTGGTTTAAACACAGAGAGCACGGCTCTTCATTTACACAGTCTGTGTGTCACAGAGAACATGGATTGTTACCTAATTAGAAATGGCACAAATAATGGCATTTCTTTGTGGACAAGATTATAAGAAGTAAACCAAAGCAAAACAACCCAAACTCACAACCAAAACCAACTAAAGCTACCAAAGACTGCCTGGGCCTCTGATGAGTTACATTAAGGCTTATTTGCAGTAAAAGGCAAGCAGTTAAATGCTTCTGAAAATCATCCGGTTATCAATTTCCATATGACGTCCTTCAGCTCCCTATTCCTCATGCTGTAGATGAGGGGGTTCACTGCTGGAGGCACCACTGCGTACAAAACAGCCATCAGCAGATCCAGGGATGGGGAGGAGATGGATGGAGGTTTCAGGTAGGCAAAGAAGCAAATGCTGATAAACAGGGAGACCACGGCCAGGTGAGGGAGGCAGGTGGAAAAAGCTTTGTGCCGTCCCTGCTCCAAGGGGATCCTCAGCACGGCCCTGAAGATCTGCACATAGGACACCACGATGAAAACAAAACAAATAAAAGAAAAAAAGACGGTAACTACAAGAAGACCCACTTCTCTGAGGTAGCGTGAGTCCGAGCAGGAGAGCTTGAGAATCTGGGGGATTTCACAGAAGAATTGGTCCAGGACATTGCCCTGGCAGAGGGGCAGTGAAAATGTATTGGCCGTGTGCAGGAGAGCGTGGAGAAACCCGCTGCCCCAGGCAGCTGCTGCCATGTGGACACAAGCTCTGCTGCCCAGGAGGGTCCCGTAGTGCAGGGGTTTGCAGATGGCAACGTAGCGGTCGTAGGCCATGATGGTGAGAAGACAATACTCTGCTGACATCAAGGCAACAAAGAAAAAGACTTGGGCAGCGCATCCCAAATATGAGATGGCCCTAGTGTCCCAGAAGGAATTGGCCATGGACTTGGGGACAGTGGTGGAGATGCAGCCCAGGTCAAGAACAGAGAGGTTGAGGAGGAAGAAGTACATGGGGGTGTGGAGGCGGTGGTCACAGGCGATGGCAGTGATGATGAGGCCGTTGCCCAGGAGGGCAGCCAGGTAGATGCCCAGGAAGAGCCAGAAGTGCAAGAGCTGCAGCTCCCGTGTGTCTGCAAATGGCAGGAGGAGGAACGCAGCGATGGAGCTGACATTGGACATTTGTTCACTCTGAGCATGGAGGACTACTGAAAGAGGAGAAGACATTGACTAGTTAGGGCAGACTTCTTTGACTCAATCCTATGCTATTTCCAAAAAAAAATCTCCTCAAAATTAATGATCTTTCTCTGAAGGAACTTCATGCATTTCAATTTTGTGACCTCAGTTTTGTGCTGCTGACTGAGAGGAATTGTCTTTGAAAGGGCAGAAATCCTCATCCCCCAGTCAAGATGAGCCAGCTGCACACAAACATGAAAAGCTGAGCAAATGGTGCTTCAGTACACGGTGACCTTGAGAAACTCTGGGATTCAGCCAATGGAAGTCACTTAAGTTCTTCAAGGAGAAGTGGCTAGTCCTGCATCAGTGGGTGGCAGGGAGGAAGGGGGAGAATAATTCCCTATGTCAGGACAGGCTGAGACCTGACCAGAGCAGTGACTCTGAGGAGAAGGCCTGGGCACTACGAGGGATGTCCTACAAGCCATCAGAGTATGGACACTACAAACAAGGCCAGCTGCATATGATGCTGCATGAGGAGGATGTGGGCCACCCAGACAGCCTGAGTTCTCATCCCCCTCAACTCAACACTGGTGTGCTCCCACACACATTGATGTGTCCCAGTGTGGTGCTCCCATTTTTGAGAAGTAGTGATGGACTGGAGAGTGTCCAGTGGAGGTCTGCCACAATGGCAGCCACGATGGCAGAGGGGAGTTGGCTACAGCCTGCAGAGAAGGAGGTGCAGGTGTGGGACACGGTAGGACAGCCTATGGTGGAACTGACAGAGGGATGAAAGGTCTGAAAAGCACCAACAGAGATGAGGTCTGTCTCCCCTTGGCTCTGGCTGCTGCCTCTGCCACTGATGCCTATGAGGAAGCACCTTATCCCTACAGCGCCAGGGTCTCATTGCCTCCCCTTCCCCACCCGAGAGCCTGGGAGGTATCGGACCATGGTCCTGCCCTTGACATTGCACATCCCCACATCACACAGCCCCAGGAAGAGGCCTGAGCAACGTGGGAGGGACAGGATCTCCCTTCCCGGGGGCTGGGGGTCACGGCTTGGCCCTTTGGCTGAATGCAACACATCCAGGTTTCCTCAGATCTGTTCCACCTTTACACTCCCTTTGTCATCTCTGCCTCCAGTTTTCTGCTCTAAGCAGCCGCTGGGGAGGCTTAGTCAGTAATGGTCCTCAGTGGGACCCATTAACCCACCAGGAAACTTTGGACTTTGAGTTTGACTTGAACTTCATGAGAGGTTTCCTCAGTACATTAAGGCTTATTTGCAGTAAAAGGCAAGCAGTTAAATGCTTCTGAAAATCATCCGGTTATCAATTTCCATATGACGTCCTTCAGCTCCCTATTCCTCATGCTGTAGATGAGGGGGTTCACTGCTGGAGGCACCACTGCGTACAAAACAGCCATCAGCAGATCCAGGGATGGGGAGGAGATGGATGGAGGTTTCAGGTAGGCAAAGAAGCAAATGCTGATAAACAGGGAGACCACGGCCAGGTGAGGGAGGCAGGTGGAAAAAGCTTTGTGCCGTCCCTGCTCCAAGGGGATCCTCAGCACGGCCCTGAAGATCTGCACATAGGACACCACGATGAAAACAAAACAAATAAAAGAAAAAAAGACGGTAACTACAAGAAGACCCACTTCTCTGAGGTAGCGTGAGTCCGAGCAGGAGAGCTTGAGAATCTGGGGGATTTCACAGAAGAATTGGTCCAGGACATTGCCCTGGCAGAGGGGCAGTGAAAATGTATTGGCCGTGTGCAGGAGAGCGTGGAGAAACCCGCTGCCCCAGGCAGCTGCTGCCATGTGGACACAAGCTCTGCTGCCCAGGAGGGTCCCGTAGTGCAGGGGTTTGCAGATGGCAACGTAGCGGTCGTAGGCCATGATGGTGAGAAGACAATACTCTGCTGACATCAAGGCAACAAAGAAAAAGACTTGGGCAGCGCA